AAAAAAGCAGAACTAAAGCAAAAATTTATGCAAGGTATTTAGGTATAGACACAGTATGTAAAAATCATTGAATACGCATCATCTGGTTTTTCTCTAGACCTGTTTTACATCATGAAAGCCCAGCTTTATACTTTACCTTGTTAATGGTAACTATTTTTTGTCTTTCTTAATAAATTTGAAATCAATGGTGCCTTAAATCCACTGTGTTCTGAATGCCTTCTTTTGCGGTGTGTGTGTGTGTGTTTTTTGTGGGGGGGGGGGGTTTAGATAAATCATACTTTAATCTCCTTTTTTGGTACTCAGAACTCAGAGAAAATGGTCTGATTTCTCATGAGACCTCATTTATGTGGAGTCATCCTTAACTCACACGGTGGGTTTTGCTCATATTTATCTGTATACCCTGTACACAGAGGACAGTACATCTGGATGCCTTTTAAAATTCTTCCTTTGTTCCTACACACTTGCCTCCTTGATGTTGGTCTGACTGAGCCTCCTAGAGATTAGCTACTTCATTGCTTATCTCAGCTGAGTGATTTCTCCTCTATGGGTGCCACGGTCACTTCTCACCTTCTCGGCACAGGACTGGTCCCTCGTGCTCTTCAGTGGATGTCAGCGCTATAGAGAGAGCTGAAGTGACCAGGACAAGATTTTCTCTGAGTGCAGAAGCATGTACTCTGTCGGAGCTCAGGAGGTGTGCAGAAGGGAAACCCTTAAATCCTGTCCTCTGTTGTCTAGCTGAGTTCTGCAGATTCTTTCTTATGCTTTTACAACATTTCTGAAAGCAGAATGTGGTATTGTATTGTCTCCCTCAGTTTGTAACCAAGACCTTTCTCCTGAATAACTTCTTGGGAGACAGACTTACACACTGTATGGTTCAGTTTCCCAAAGCCTCCATGTCCCAGTTTACCCCAGGTATGTAATGCAATTATGTCCCCTTCCAGGGACATGGATTCCTCATTTTTACCTACAGAGCTCTGCCCAACCCACCTGACCATCTCAAAGACAGAGAACCCTAATCTGAATATTTGATTTAATTTCCCCCATTGTCCTTTATTGGGTAGAGATGGGAATGGAGGTCAGAACTCTCCTTCTACCACGTACAGGTTCTTGTCCTGCTTGCCTGGTGGAGAGTTGAGGCAGCCCGGAAAGGCAGCTCTTGATGGGTCTATGACGACGGATCTGATGTCCCCAAGAACTATGCATCTTCCAGTCACTGAAAGAAAAACTTAAGATAGCCCCAAAAGCAGAGGAAAGAGGGAAGTGGAGTCCTGTAGACTGCCCTCCAGTATTTTCAGCATTCATAGCCTTGAGCCTGGAGACTACTGCACAGCGGTTGCTGTGTTCTGATATCTGTCGGGCAGCTCTGCTGGCACAGGGCTGGGCCATGTGGCCACCTGTACTGATTCAGAGACACTGAGGTCCATGACTGGCCTTACACACCTGAGTTTCTGAGGAGAGCTATTTTTAGGCTTCGTGCTTTGCATCAGGCCCCTTCTCTTTTCAAACCTGCCTTTTATCTAGACGTAATGTGCAGAGCAGGTAAGTGGTAGCGGCACAAATCCATTGCACAAGTTTACTTTTGTATTATTTATTGATAAAATAACCTTGCCTGGAACAGAACTGTGAAACTGCCACCCTGAATACAAGGGTCTGTTTGGATGGCAGCTGCAGTGTTACAGTCCAGTCCATTTCAATGCTCTGTTTGGATGAACAATATTCACAAGCCATGGAGTCACCCGGGTTTGCCGTTGCTAATGGCAACAGCGTTTTATCTTGTGTGTAGCCCATTTCTCTTGTGGTCTTGAGAACTCTTCAATTAAATTTATCTAAACACTTGAAGGGGAAGCTTTTAGGAACTGCTTTTTTTGTTTTCATAATTGAATCATGGATCTTACAGACGTTCATGGTGGTATTTATTATTAATATAAAAATCAAATGTCATATGAAAACGCTCGGCTTCAGTGAGCACCTCACAATTTCTGTGGATGTTATGGATCACCAACCTTGGGAGGAACACAGGTTCACTGTGAGAAATTGTAAGTACATATGTGTACTTCTTTAAAGGGCAATGCCAGTCAGGCTGAAGTCTTACGTGGTGACTTGTGTAAGAGATTCAAATGTGTGTGTATTCAGGGGAAGAAAAAAGGAAAATCTGCTACACTTTTCACTCAGAAAGGAGGAAGATGAGCCACATGAATACACCGGTTATCTTTGAAGTGCAAAAACTTCAGATCCTGTCATTTGAGTGTGGGATGATTTTTATATCCATTTTCATAAACCACAAAAAGAAAACGTTTTCTGAGGTCGCAAAGAGCCTCCCCAGAATCTCAGGGTTCCAGAGAACTAGTTTGAAAGTCACAGTACTATCCTGGATCATTGTGGAAGCCACTGAAAGGTAAAGATGTAGCCAAGAGTACTTGTAACTTTTGTCTCCCCATACGAGCTGGGTGTGAGAACGTAGATGTTTGTTACAGTTTCAGCCCATCCATGATGAATTGCTTCCCTCCCTCCCCTTAAACTTCATTGTATTTTTGTTTTGTATCTGAATCTTTTTTGTTTTGTTTTGTTTGTTTTGTTTTTTTCGAGACAGGGTTTCTCTGTGGCTTTGGAGCCTGTCCTGGCACTAGCTCTGTAGACCAGGCTGGCCTCGAACTCACAGAGATCCGCCTGCCTCTGCCTCCCGAGTGCTGGGATTAGAATCTTGACATCCTTGTATGTTTTCCCCTTTGAGTTACTTTCTTTTATTTTTTCATTGATGGAAGAAGGAGAAAGAGGAGGAGAAGAGGAGGAGGAAGGGGAAGAAGAAAGAGAAGAAGGAGGAGAAGGAGAAGAAGAAGAAATAGGAGATTCTTTGAGTACACTGTACAGAGAACAGTGGGCCTGACAGGAACAGAAGAACTGCCTCTCATGAGATTTTTAAAATGTGCTTTAATTGGGTCCATGATGTTGGCCAGGTGTGGTGCACAGCTGCGGTCTCAGCACTTGCGAACTGAGGCAGGAGGATTCAGAGTTTGTGGCTAGGCTAGACTGCAACAGCAAAACACTGCCTTCAAACAAAATGGGATAAAATAAAAAAAAAATCTGTGTTCCTAAACACTTTCTTCTGTCTGATTCTTGCCAACCCGAGTGCCTCTCTCCAGATTGGCCTCAGATTTTCTAGCCATCAGTATCGCATGATATAGTGACTCTGTTCTCCCATCCCAGTTGAGTATAAAACTCTTATCTTTCTGTCTATCCGTCCATCCATCCATCTCAGTTTTTACCCGAATTTTTCTAAAGTTGCTCAGTGACAGGTGTGTGGGACTCTAACTCTCTGTGGCCTTCATGTTCATGTAAATACGTCTCTCTTCTTTCACAACTGAATGGTTTCCTTCTGCTTAGAAAATTCCTATGTGTCCTTCCTTCTTCGGCAGCTTGTTCCCTCCTACTCTGTCTATTGTCTTCCAGTGGAGTTCCTGCCAATGGTGTGGGCTCTACTGGCCTTGTCCTTTGTGGCATGCGTCAGTTTTGTTCTTGATCTCCCTGGCGCTTACCAGTGGAACCTCCCACTATTTGTTGAAAATTACTTCATCAGCCACAGTTTTGCATTGTTTTTAAATGTTTTAAAATTTTTACGCATGATTCTGTGGTTCCCAGGGAAGATGGATCATTAAAAACAAATGTAAAACTATGTGACATTTTCTTGACTGTTGATTGATATGTGAGGGCCCAGCCCACTGAACTATATACTACCTGTACTGGCTAGTTTTATGTCAACTAAAAAGGAGCTGGTTTTCAGAGAGGAGGAAGCCTCATCTGAGAAAATGCCTCCATAAGATCAGGCTGTAGGCATTTTCTTAATTAGTGACTGATGGGGAGAGAGCCCAGCCAATTGTGGATGGTCCATCCCTGGGCTAGTGGTTAAAGGTTCTGTTTGAAAGCAGTCTGAGCAAGTCAAGTAGAGTAAGCCAGTAGGCAGCCCTCCTCTATGGCATCCAAATCAGGGACCTCCAGGTCCCTGCTGTGAATGAGTTCCTGCCCTCACTACTTTTGTTGATGAGTTGTTACATGGAACTGTGAGTGAAATAAACACTTCCCCGTGTTGCTTTGTGTTACGGTGTTTCGTCACAGCAATAGTAACCTTAAGGCAAGTGTTTGTATAAGAAAGCAAGCTGAGCAAACCATTTGGAATAAGCCAGGAAGCAGCATTACTTTGTGGTCTCCACTACAGTCCCTGCCTCTAGATTCCTGCTTTGGCTTCCATTGTTGATAGTCTGTAACCTACAAACCAACCCTTTCCTGCCTACATTGCTGTTGGACACCCTTTAAACTATTCGGCTTACTGTAGATTATGTAGTGTGCGCCATGTTTCCAGCTTTTCTGAGCTGTCACCCATTCTGGGGTAGACTTTGATGGTGCAAATATTTTGAGTCGTCTCTGCCCCTGTAAGCAACCCCTAACCAATATTCCTGTGATTAGCCGCCCATAAAACTTAACTGGTTCATCAAGTTGGACTTTGGAGGTATCCTTACTTAAGTGTGCCCTTGGTCCCTTGTCTGGGATGAGTAGATATCTATTCATGTTTCCTCTGGGATAATGTCACACAGTGGCAAGGAGGCCTGACTGGGGGAGAAAGGAAAAAGCTGGCTGAGAGAAGTGGGAGTCCTTGGGTTTATTCTCTCTGATCTGGACTGTGCATGGGATACATTGTTACTGCCTTGACTTTTCTGGAACCTAGAGCTGTAAGCCAAAGAGACCTTTATTTTTTAAGCTTCTTTAATCGTAGCAACAGAAAGAAAATCAGGACATCACATGTCATATGAAATGGGAGTGGCCATTGGTACCTCCCTGAGAGGACTTCCAGGTAAGTCACGTTGACTCTCCCAGGCAGGTGTGGGGTTGTCCAGCTACAAACAGGAAACCTTCAAAAAGCTTTCTGACCCATAGGCACGACAATCTAAGAACGGTAAGAAACCCACTGCCTAGAGACTCTGGCTCATGAGTCCTTTTCCTGTTTCTAGTGCTGATGAGCGCTTTGATGCCACATTCCACACCAATGTCTTGGTGAATGCATCTGGGCATTGCCAGTACCTTCCTCCAGGTAAGATATACTCCCCTGGTTTCCATCCAGTGAGAAAATTTAAGCAAGTATGTGCATCGGTCCTAAGGACTGGTGTCCCGAGGACTGGTGTCCCGAGGACTGTCCTCCTGAGGGGAGGACTGTTGTGCCGAGGACTTCCCTCCTGAGGGGAGGACTGCTGTCCCGAGGACTGTCCTCCTGAGGTGAGGACTGCTGTCCCGAGGACTGTCTTCCTGAGGGGAGGACTGGTGTGCTGAGGACTTCCCTCCTGAGGGGAGGACTGGTGTCCCGAGGACTGTCTTCCTGAGGGGAGGACTGGTGTGACGAGGACTGTCTTCCTGAGGGGAGGACTGGTGTGCCGAGGACTGTCTTCCTGAGGGGAGGACTGGTGTCCCGAGGACTGTCCTCCTGAGGGGAGGACTGGTGTGCCGAGGACTGTCCTACTGAGGGGAGGACTGGTGTGCTGAGGATTGTCCTACTGAGGGGAGGACTGTCTCCATGTTGGTTAACCACCTATCCCTTCCCATTGGAGGTCTCGCATTTCTCTTATCTCACTCTGGGTATCGTCTCTGAAGTTAAGATCACATTTCAGAGGTCTTTGCCGAGGTCTATCTTCTGTTCTTATTCATGTTAATTCACAGTTTACTCTCCTTTGTTGAGTAATTTCCCATCCTTCTTTTGGGCCATAAACATGATAGGCAGGCCTTTTCCCCTTCATCTCTCCCCAGTTGGCACAGGAAGTTGGCAGGTGCTTCAGTGCTGGGAAGATGATGAGCATTCGGTGCTCATGAAGTTAAGATTGCTCACAAGTTAGATGCAAGACCCAGGGCTTTCCAAGGAGCACCCTCTGGTGACCTGTTCCTCAACTGATTTCTTTTCTTGTTCTTAACCTCCTGGTGGTAAATGGTTTCATGGGGTTAATCTGTTTCCCTGCCCTTTGAGGCACATTCAAGGTGTGTTCTAGTATATGAGTATCAATTCTTTTTTATTTAATTATTTAGAAGCTTCATTAACATATTTTCAAGAATTAAATATTCCTCACGGAAACTGTTTATCACATATCTGGAACCCACTGCTTACACTGTTGTGACTACACTCAGAACATACTTACACACTCCTAACGTATGCGCCCGTTGAATATATATTAGCTTCTCGTCACACGCACACACACACAACACACGCACACACACACACACACGCACTCTTCTCTAGCTCCTCATCTCACAGCACATGGTGAAGCTGGCTTTGCCTATTGTTTACAATGCTCCTCCGCTTAGCAGATGATAAGAATTCTGTAGACAGGATCTTTGTTTGCTCACCTTACCATCCATCACTTCTCAACTGCGGGTGGCTGTGTCAATAAATGGATGAATAAGTGGTTGGATCCAGCAGAGACATAGCCCTCTCACTGATGTTCATATCGATTAGAGAACTGTTGCTTGTCAGGCTTTCTGTCTTAAGTCATCTGCTTGCCTGCTCCAGCCCTTCCTCCACGCTGCAGGTACCTTATAGAGAGGGCTCTGTGATGCCTTCCAGCACACTTTCAGTAAAGAAGTGGGTGGTTGTGAGCCACCATGTGAGTGCTGGGAATTGAACCTGGGATCTCTGGAAAAGTAGCCTGTGTTCTTAACCACTGGACCATCTCTCCACCCACTTTCTGTGTTTATTTTTAAGAGGCAGATGGAAGTAGAATTTGCATATTATACATTTAAAGACTCTTAACTCCATGGGTTTTAGTAAATTTTCAGAGGGTTGCTACAATTGAATTTTAGAATGTCCCCATTATCCCTTACCTGTTGACAGTTAACTGATCTTGCTGCAAGCCTCAGGCAACCAGTGAATCTTTTCTGTCTCCTTCTTGGGTCTTGTCATAGAAATGGAATCAAATACAGTTTTCTAACTGTGTTTGGATTAGGAGAAATTCAGTCCACAAATGGTAAGGGAATGCCAGTGGTGACTTTCAGGTTCCTGTGGGCATGTGATATATGTGTGTGTATATGTATATGTATGTATGTGTATATATACATGCATATATACACATACAGACATATATACACATACAGACATATATACACACACCTACCTACATATATATACACACACATACGTACATACACACACATATGCACAACAGTGTTGCTGTTGAATTTTGAGCTTCTACATACTAAGTAGGCACTCTACCACCGAGAAAGGGAGTCCCTAGCTGCCTTTATACCTTTTTATTTTGAGATATCACTAAGTTGCCTGGGATAGCCTTGAACTTGTCACCCCCTGCATTGACTCCCTAAGTATCTGGGAATGTAAGGCACATTTAAAGGACCGCCAAGGGACAGTTTGTGTTTTCTCAGCATGGGTGTGTAGTAGAGTGTACAAGTGTAAAACTCTTCAGTTCCCTCCTTTGTTCAGTCTTTAGTTCAGCAAAGAATGTGAAGTATGTTTTTGCGCATCCAAACCCTCTCTCTCTAATTTTGCACCTTATCCCATTGCTATGAAAATTGTACAGGTTAGAGTTACACTTTATATATATTTTCAGATAACTAACTGTTTATTTTACACACACATACACACACACACACACACACACACACACACCAGCCTCTCCCTGTCTCTTTCCACTTCTCTCTCTAACTCCTTCACCATTTTTTATCAGCTTCTCTGAGATTTCTTGCACCCTTTCTTTTTCTCATGTTGCTTAGACTCAGAATGTGCTCCTGGCAAATGAAGTTATAATTAATTATTTGCACTAAGTTTCCTGAGAAAAGCCTTCCATAACAAAGGCTATCGTTGTGCTTTAATTTTAAAAACAGTGACATTTTGGCTGAGCTTCTCTAGGGGTTTTTCCTAAAGGAAAATGGGGCAGGGAGGGGAAAGCACCTTGACTTGCTCTAATTAGGTCCTAGCAAGAGTTCAGTGTGTGTCGGGGTTGGGGGTGCGGGGTAGGCTGCAGGAACTATGGTGTGTTCTGAGCCTGTTTCTCTTACCGCCGTTTCAATCTTCTGGTCATTTCCCATGCTCACATAGGCATATTCAAGAGCTCCTGCTATATTGATGTGCGCTGGTTCCCTTTTGATGTGCAGCAGTGCAAGCTGAAGTTTGGGTCCTGGTCCTATGGAGGGTGGTCCCTGGACCTGCAGATGCAGGAGGCAGATATCAGCAGCTACATTCCCAATGGAGAATGGGATCTCATGGGTAAGGCTAGCACAAAACAAAGACCTTATGTCCCAGAAGAGAGATGCCTTCCACCTGTGTGAACTGAAAGACTTGGGAATTTTTCTGCTTTTCCTTTCGCTGGCTACACTCGACAGCCTTCTCCATCACGTCCTGAGAGCTCCAGAATGGGCAGCGGAAGCCAGTTAGCGAGCGCAGCAAGCAGCCATGGCAGAGCCTGTTAAACCAGCACTGCTAGAGTAGACTTTGTGGGGTCCATTCTAGTCCTCTAGCATGGTTGAGCTGCACAGTGAAGTTGATGGTGCCGATGAAGACCATCACAAGTGGGGGTTCAGTCAGAAGTACAAACAGCAGTGTTAGGGCAGAGAACAACATTCCACTTTGGGAGACACAATTCAACTAGACACTAAGCCAGTCCTCTGCTGAGAGGGGAATGGGCATTAGATTGTAAAGCAAAAGGCGCATATGACAGTTTAGCACAGTGTGTGAGTCAGGTAGTTTGAAAATGGTCTACATCGGGGTGGTTGTAAATTTCCTAAGTCCGTTGGCCTGTATAGGCCAGGGATCAAACTGGTCACTCTAGCATTCTTAATTTTTGGAAGGTAATGTGAGATTCTGAGAAACTGTTCCTTTCAGTACACACACTTCTTGACATGATGCCTGCATAGCGATTTATGCTCTGTCAGCAAATCTCTAAGGCTTAGAAAAATAGTTTGGATTTTTTTCCTCTCTGTAGACATTTTGGCTTTTATTTTATACCTATATATTGCATCATTTTAAATCCAAACCAATATTATTATGAGTCACTTACCCTCAGGTATATGTTTGGAAAAGGGCCATGCAGTTTTATTGTGTGAAGGCCATAGAATGCATTTACACTGTACACAGTAAGCCAGCTACAGAATCAGTCAGTGATACAATGTTATCGACTCCATTGTACATTTCTTCCGCCTGTGACAGAAACACCGTTACGTGGTGTCTGTTGATAATTGCATTTGTAATACTGTAAGACTGACATTGTGTAAGTACGTCTAATGCATCAAAAGAATATCTACCAGTTTGGTTGACTGTCACTGAGATACCTTTAAACAGCTGTGGCATACCCATAAAGGTTTGTTCAAGCACCCATCACTCACTTTTAGGACTGTGCTCCTGGATAGTACACACTTAGAAACAACAAAAAGCAGCTGAGTCTTCTGTTAGTTAGAAACAAAAGGCAGCCGTGTCTTCTGATAATCTTCCTTTCTCTGGCACCCCGCTCAGGAATCCCTGGCAAGAGGAATGAAAAGTTCTATGAATGCTGCAAAGAGCCGTACCCAGATGTCACCTATACAGTGACCATGCGCCGCAGGACGCTCTACTATGGTCTCAACCTGCTCATCCCCTGTGTGCTCATCTCGGCCCTGGCTCTGCTGGTGTTCTTGCTCCCTGCAGACTCTGGGGAGAAAATCTCCCTTGGTAAGTAGCCAAGTCCCTCTCCTGAGGCAAGCTCTGCAGGACACTGTCAACTACCATACCTCAGCCCCTGCGCCAGGATCAGACCTATAATCAGAACCAGAAACTCCTGGTTCTGCCTCCTCGAGAGGCAGAGTGCCTTCTTGAGAATTGTCAGAGTCTAGGGATTCCGTGATTTTGTGGGAAAAAAAAAAACAGGATGTAGTAAGGGACCAGATCAGTTCTACCCTAATGGGCTATGTTTCTCCCTTTCTGTCACCCACTTTGCTCCTCAGTGGTAGCTGGCCAGTCTACTCTATGGATGGGAGACACATTAACTTAATATCAGCTTGCATTGGTAAATTATTACACACATTACAATAGGAATGCAATCTCTGGAATTGCTTCCCCTGTGAGAATATAAAAAGTGAGGGTTTGAATGGTAAAATGAGCTGCTTATATCAAAAAATTGCTAAGTAAATACATATTTAGTGTGTTGAAGAAAGCTTTCTCAGGCCTTCTATTTTCTCAGCATAAGGCTTAGAATGTTAAATATCTTATTCAAGGTCACACAGCCAATTAAGTTGTCAAGTCAAGACTTGAATGAAAACGAGTCTTCTGGCCCCATGGTTTCCTGATCCTGCTGTATAAAACTGCAGCTTAGTATTAATGCAGTCAGGACCTTGAGCATTAACCGTGCTGGTTGATCCTCTCAAAGTTGTGGCTACTAAACTTGTCTCCATTCGAGGGTCCTTTGGGTTCTGGCAAGGTGACAGGAACTGTACCCAGAAAAAAAAAATGCGTACAGAAACTACGGGACTCAAAGTGTAGCCCCGGCAATCTACACAATGCTTTTGAAACAACTGTTGTGAGCTTCTGTGAGGTGTAATTTCAGCCTTGCTGTGGGTTATGACTAAAGAACCCCTCGCCTTGTTGTTTCAGGAATAACTGTCTTGCTTTCTCTGACTGTCTTCATGTTGCTTGTGGCTGAGATCATGCCTGCCACATCTGATTCCGTGCCCTTGATAGGTAAGACGAGGACCCCAGTGTGCCTAGGGTTTCCCTACAGGTGCACGGAGGAGAAACGTGTCCTTCAGGGTCCTAGACACTTATTCTGCCCCTCTGTCCCCTGCTGTGGAGACGTGACTTGCTATATTAACAAGACACCATGGCCCACAACTAGGCCCAAGCAGAAAGGGAAAGATGTCCAAATTTGTGGCTTGCCTTTAAACTGAAGAAAGGCCATGGGTGATGATGTTCCTGTAGTCTCAGTACTTGTGATGCTGAGGCAGGAGTATTACGGGATTCAGGAGTTCAAGACTAGCCAAAAGAACATAACATGAGCTATCTCCAGGGTGGTGATACACATGAATGTGTGTGATAGAATGTCCCTTCCTCCTGTATTCCCCCCACTCATATTTTCTGCTCTAGAGTCAAAGACTTCACAATTTGAGATTTATTATTTTACCTGGATTTTTTTTGACTAAAGCATATATTTTAATTCTTGGTTCCTATCTCCTGAGATCACTCAGTAACCACTCATTAAATATGTGTTTAGAGAAACGGGAGGGGAACAGATGTTTTGTCTGGGTTAGGTGCTTCTGCCCAGGGATAACTGACAGAAAGAGGAAGACTCCCTATTTATAGAGTTTCCTCCATGGAAGCAAATGAGATCGGGTGAAGGATGCTGTGACCAGGGTAGTTTTCAGGTCTCACTACTGCCGCCAGGGTTCTACTTGCTGTCCAGTGTGTCATGGGGATGGGAACAGTATCCCTCAGAGACCATTTGGCTTCAGTGGGAGAGTTATTGCTTCTGTTTCATGGTGGGAAGTGAAGTCTTTGAAAAGATCTAGGCTGTCCCTTTCCATCAGAGTATTAGGCTACCCGAGTATTTATTAGGCTACAGCCTGCTTTTTAGTATGGCCACACAGGAGGCCCTGATAGAACATTATCACAGTAGGCGCTGCTGAGGCCCCAGGTCTCACACTGCCTTTGGTCTCTCTACAGCACAATACTTCGCCAGCACCATGATCATCGTGGGCCTGTCTGTGGTGGTGACCGTGATTGTGCTGCGGTATCATCACCATGACCCTGATGGTGGCAAAATGCCCAAGTGGGTACGTCCTCTGTCCTTGTAGAGTGCCAGCTCTCCCTGAAAGCGCCTCTTGCAGTTTTCTGTTGTCTAGTGGCCCTAAAGAAATTCCACCCTTCTGTGTGTCTTTGAGGACAGTGCCATGGAGGTGACAGTATTTTAGACTGACATCCCAGCAGGGCTCCAGATTGCCTGCTTGTGTGCCCTGCTAGTATTGTGCTTTACAAGCTGTCCTTCCACACACCCTCTGAGGAGGACTGTGTAGCAGTTGGAAGAACTAGGAGAGGGGCCATCAGGCAATGTGGCTGGAGCTTCCCAGCAGACTGAAGAGTGAGAATAAGAACCAGCATGAGTGTTTCTCGGTATCTACGGAGCATTGGTTCCAATGTCCTTGATAAGAGAGAAGACTGAACGTGCCCACGCTCCTTGTAGAAATGGTGTAGCACTTGCTCAGAACCTTTATACACCCTCCAGTGTACTACCGATCATCTCCAGATGACGTAGAGACTTAATGACGTGCAAATGTCCTACCGGTACTTCTTAAGTAGTGCTGGCTAGGGAATGATACAAGAGAAATATCTGTGTCTGTTCAATACACATCCCGGTTTTGTTTTCCTAAAGCTTTCTCAGTATATGCTTACTAGATTTAATAGGGACAGACTCAACACTGCAGAGGGCCAAGTTTCTATCCAATCAATACACAGAGGTTTACAATCTAACCCCAAACCCATGACATAAGATGTAGAGTTCCTAGTGGATAATGAACGGAGGACAAAAGGAAACGGATCAGGGTTCATCCCAGGTCGTGTCACCACTTCCCTACGCCTGCAAGCATCAGGCAGGCACTATTATCTGCTGATTCCGACCTTCCACGGCATTTCAGGACCCAATCCCTGAAGTTCTGCTCTTCGCTGATGCACAGAGACCTTGACGAGGGCTTGGGCTGACCCCCAGACGTTCCCACGCCTTTCCAGAATGAAACCCAAGGTAGAGAAAAGCTGTTCTGACCTACCACCACTAGTGAGCCTTGCAGATATCCCTGGTCTTTTCATCTGAGGACACGAAAAGCAGCCCTTTCTATCTCAGAAGGAGCCTGTCTGAAGACCCATTCAGTACTGCTCATGTCCAGAAGGAAATCTAGGAAGCACCCGCATGCCGGAATGCAGCATAAAGGAAAAGATGCATGTGGCTCCCTAGCAGAGCCAAGGGTTTCCAGCCTTCTGAAGACAGTCGTGATGCAATGCCCTACCGTGCCCTAGCTTAGGAAAAGATACTATTTATTTTCCAGTGGCCTTGTAAGAGTACTAGTTCCTCTCAGCTACTCGCCTTAGACACACAATAACACCTCTCATAAAGTTCACGGTCGCAGCTGTGGCATGAACTCAGTCTCAGTAGTTATGTCTCAGATGCCGTTGCTGCAGACCATGAAGCTTGTTTTAGAAGTCATTGGTGCTGTTACAAAGTTGAGACACACTCACCTATATGTCCTTCTTTCTTAGCATCATGATACATCACAGGGCGAACTAAGCCAGGTTTGACTTACATGTCCTTCTGCCTATCCATCCATAACCACCAATATTGATAACCTTTTGTGGCTTTTTCTTTTAGGCCACCAACAAGCTCCCAAAACATAATGTGAAGACTTATTATTAGTTTTGAATGCTTGGCCTACTTTAAACTCATTCTGGCTAGCTCTCTTAAATTAACTCTTTTTTTCTTTATCTACCTTTTGCCTAGGAGCTTTTAGCCTTTTCTTTCTGTATGTCCTACTGTTGTGCCCAAGTTGAGAGACTCCCAGAGAGACCACCAGAATCCAGTCAGGTCCATAATGCAAAAACAAGGTTTATTTCTATTTCAGGTAGCTGGGAGAGACCCCCATGTGACACAGCGCAGTAGGGAGTGCTACCACTCCTCATTTGGGGTTGACATATAAAGGCAAAAACCGCAAGCGAGGTTTACTCGGGGTCAAGGGGGTTGGTTTTGCTGAGTACAGGGTATGGACTGCTTCTGCACACCCTGCACACCCCCTCCCTCCTTTAAGCAGCTACTTCTGCTCCTGTGCATGCCCCCCGCCCTCCCCCAGCAGTTATTCCTGCTTCTGTCTAGACCACAAAGCTGGGTGTCAACAGGGGGCTAGCTGCTAGGAACAGTTGGTCTGCACTTTAGCAAAGGTTCCTGTTTCCAGCTAACTTTTGATGCTGCAGAGTTTCTTGAACCCAGTGCCTTAACCAGCTCCTGATCAAGCCAAGTTTCTTAAAGCTTTCCATGTCCTCACATTTCCCCCTTCTCAAGTACCTCGGGGAACCAATCCTGGTTCCCTTAAAGCCAAGTGGGGACAACATATCTTTCCTCTAGTATACCGAGGGGGACATAGTTCCGTTAAAAAAAAAAAAAAAACAGAATTTCTCTCCTAAATCTGCACAGAGTCTTCCTATGTAAGGAAGTTCCCTTTTTACTTAGCATCTCAACCAGGGATTACAGGATGGTGTCTTCTTTTAACTGCTTGCAGCTGACTTGGGGGCATCATTGTCAAGAGTTAACAAAGGTGAAATGCTAGTCAAAAACAAAGAGAAAATTTAAGCAATGGGAGCATCTGATTTGTGGACTCTGTTGAAGAGCCAGGGAGCATTCACATCGGCTAGACTGGTCCATATCAGTTCTGAGCAAGTCCAGGTTCCACAGTCATTTGGATCGGATTGTAGTCAGCAAGTAATGCTTGGTTGTATCTGCCAGTCAAGGGGAAACCTGTTGAGACAAATTCAAACTAGGAACAGAAGTTTAACACATTTGAAACTTTTGGGCCCATATTAAACTCCATATTATAGAAAAAAATAAATAGCAGATATAAAACAGCAAATAAAATAGACTCATACTTTTGAGTCCTAGCAAAAACACAGACTTGGGTTAAAAGTGTGTAGACAACTAAAAGAAATTTAAAATCTTGAGCTTGTGACCCAAACAGTAAGTAGTTATATCTTAAAATTTGATGCTGTTAAATTAAGCAAGGCTCTAGCTAGCCCAGCCATCAATACTGTCAGAGATCTCAGAAGGATAAATAAACTATATTTAAGTACAGACCAAACAGCTTTCCAAACTATTAAAAAAGCAAGAGAAACCAGCCCATGTACAGTCATACCTAGGTCTCCATAGCATTGGAGGCAGAAGTATCAGAAGCGGGCTTTACCAGGCCCATAATATGGGAGGTTCCTGTGAAAAAGGGACATGGAAAAGACTGACCCTATTTTGTCTAGGCAAAAGTGGTGCAATCAATTCTCCAGTGTCCATAGTCTGGCCTGGGTCCTGGCAGCAGGTGGTGCATTGGGGCATCTTGCCCAGTGGTCAGTGTCATCATTTTCCAGGTGGAGACATTGTGGTATCCCATAATCTTCTTTGGAGAGCTTGGGTCATTGCTAGGATCTGGGAGTCTCTGTCTGATATAAGCTTTTTAATTATTATTTTAAATGCCATATTCTGCAGATCTCTGAAGTATTTAGAACTGCCCAGGTATATCTGATTAAACAAACTTTATTACTAATTACTTGTTTTAATCAACCTTAAAAATCTATACAGAGGACTAAATAAGACTTATCTCTGTAATTACATCAGTACTTCAAGGATGACTGATTATTAACTTGTATTTCTAACAGTCTACAATAAGTTTGCATCTTTAATAAGACCAGGACTTTATATCATATGCTATCAGATTTAACTTAGCTGATGCTTCTGGTGACTATCACCTGGCATTGGTGTTTCTAAAATTGTTAAGGTCCATCCTTGCAACTGTTCTTTTCTGGGGACTCTAGTCTCAGCTGTTCTCTGTGATCCCTTTTAGCCTTTTATCTGGGTGACTCTTGAATTACAAGGTTTAATTGACACAGCAAGGTACATTCTTGTGTATAAAGACATTGAGATGCAGCTTTTCAATAAAGAACAGCATAAAACAGTTTTAACATTATCTATATCAAAAAGACATCCAAATTCCTGCTAACCTGAATCTAGTGACCAGAGCTCAGGGAACAAGTACGAAATTTTCAGTTACCAAAGGCTAACTTTTCAACAAAGCAAGCATACATATTTTATTTTTCAAAAAAGAGACATGACCCTTTAACAAGACAAACAAGATTTTTTTAAACCAGAATTAACCTAGTATGGTAAACATTTAGCATATGTTTATGTTTTCCTTTTTAAATTTAGTATTTACAGGTAGGAGAAACTATGAGAAACCACATCAAACATAGTTTACTTCCTCTGGCTTTCACAACTTTTCATATACCTTCTGCAATTATTTTTTTTTTTGCTTTTTAGACTACATAAAAACTTTAATCAAAAACTTTTTTGTCTCTCCTCTCATTTTCCTGACAATATACAAATTTTCATCAAAGTCTTTTTCTGTGATTTTGTCCAGCAGAACATTGCATAGATATAATATTTAAAACAAAAGCAGAAATGTATACATCTTAATCAAAGGTGATAAGTATTTGTAACCCATTGTATATAAATGACTAAAATCCATATATTTTTTTCTTTCCTTGTCAAAACAAAAGCATAAACTTTTCCTGAACATAATGCATCTTTGACATTTACAAAGACATAGGCGCCAATAAAAATAAAAATAAACCTGGACGTCCGGCCCTGGTTTCTCCTCTTGAGAAACCCAGAAAAGCTGGAGGCCACTGACACCAACAGGATTCCACATCTGCAGTCTGCTCAGAACTCGGTTCTTCCTCTTGAGAATCCCAGAAAAGTGGGAGGCTATTGGGACCAACAGGGTTCCATGTCTGCGGGCTGCTCAGAAAGTTGGGGCTGCTGAGACCAAGAGGGTTCCATGTCTGTGGTCTACTCAGAAACCCCCGCAACTGTTGCCTCCTGAGAGAGATGTCTCTCTCTCCTTCCAGGATCACCGCCCGGACACGTCTGTCCTTAGTGAGAGCCTGGACCACCCATCCTCTCACTATCTCCATGAGAGCCACTGACCAGCCTTAGAAAGAAAAAATATATATAAAGATCCGACTAACAGCACAGTTATTTTCAGGTTGACAGCACACACATACATAAATCTTACAAGCATCAGAGCAGAACAAACCTCTAGCCCTTGGGGGGGAGGGGTGGTTCTGGTGAGGGTTCCCAGCCAACACACCAAATGTTGTGCCCAAGTTGAGAGACCCCCAGAGAGACCACCGGAATCCAGTCGAGTCCGGAATCAGAATACATGTCTCTCTGTCTGTCAGCTGCCCGGCCAGCAGACCTGGGCATCTTCTCTCTCCCTTGTTCTCTCCTCTCTTCTCTTTTTCTCTTTGAGCCTAGATTTCTCCTATTTATTCTCTCTGCCTGCCAGACCCACCTGTCCCTCTCCTGCCTAACTATTGGCTGGTCAGCTTTTTATTAAACCAATCAGGTAACTTAGGCAGGCAAGGTGAAACAAATGCAACTTATCTTTAGGTAATTAAACAAATGCAACATATACAAATGGAACCCATCCTTACATTGTTAAACAAATGTATCATAAACAAATGTAACACCCCTTTATATAGTTAAATATTCTGCGGCATAAACAAATGTAACACCCCTTTATATAGTTAAATATTCTGCGGCATAAACAAATGTAACACATCTTTGCCCAGTCAAAATACTATTCACAACAGCCATTTTAGCAACAACCATTTTAATGAATTCCCTATTTTTCTCTAGTGTTTATGCTAATATAAAAAAATACACTCATTCTTATTTCTTTGAGTATTTTGGCTGGTATGAAGATAAAGGAACTGACACACAGAGACACAAAACCATTTTTAATAAACTGGTACCACTTTATTCTCCCAGAATCTTAATTAAGAGCATCTGTCTGTTACAAGTCTCTTGGGATAAAAGGTTGTTAAAACCGGTAGGCTACAAGTACAACCAAAGTGTGTATTCCTCTCATTTTATAAAGCATACAGCACTTTTCATTCATCCCATGTGTCTTTGAAACATAAACAGCCTCCCAGATACTCTTATGGTCTGATGCTATTATGAAGAAGAGACTGCTGGGCGCAGTGGTATTATGTGGCATTTGCACAAGTAACAACAAAACCGTAGGCTGGCAGAAGAGGTCATAGGCATGGTTTGATGAGTACCAGAAGAATAATTCCATCTTTGGAGATGTGCTATCCTTGAAAGCCATGGAATTCAAAACAGACTTGGTGAAATGGACCGTACTAGTTGCAGATGCCTCTCAGAGAACTAACACACGGACCCCTGCGTGGCAGGAAAGGGAACCACCCTGCTCTGCTCTCGTGTGCACAGCTGCCTTGGGATTCAGATTCTCTTATAGTTTGACAGCCTCCTTTGAGATCTAGCACAGACCTTCTTGATGTCTTCTGAGGGAGGGCTTGGGCTAAGTCGTAGGAGTTCTGAAGAGAACCCTGGGGCACCTTTGGTAGATGAGGCTTGCAGCCGTCTAAACAGAGGAGAGCTATGGTGTGTCTGCCTCACTGCCTTCTTCCTCCCAGCATTCTGTTCTGTCTACTCCGTCCACCTAATTTTCTGCCCTATTAAAAGGCCAAGGCAGTTTCTTTATTAACCAATAAAATTAACACATAGACAGAACACCCACCTACATCATTTCAGCTGTCACAAAACACGAAACCTGTCACCTCTCGGGGTAACTTTTCACGAGTGTCTCTGCATCAGGCACTCCCCTGGGTAACACTTTGAAGGGTCAGGCTGATAAACTCCAATAGCCAAGTACAGCCCTCAGCCTTTTAAAAATAATTTATAAAAAGGTTATTTTTTAGGCATCACTCTCACCCACCCACTCATGCACTCATTACGTGCACACCAGCAGGAGGCATTGTTGTCAGAGGGGCCTCCATGACCTGGACTGTTCATAGGAAGCATGCTGACACCCGTTTCTGCCTTTTCCATATACTGCCCCAACCCCGGTCTCACTTGTTCATCATCAGAGCCTAATGAGTTGGGTTAGAAGCACCTAAACTCTCTTCCATATTATATCTTAGCTCTTCTCTTTCCATAGGCCTCCGAGGCCCCGTGGTCCATTTACACAGGTTAAAGTAGATCATCACCCGCCTTTGCCTTCACAGTCTGGCATCCAAGGAGCCCAGACACACCCTCTGAACTCCAAAGAACAGATTAGAGATAACCATCCTCATTTTCTGATTCTCGTTGATTCTCTTGGCAGTCCTGGTACAATTTTTAAAACCAGCTTGGCAAAGATACGGACTTTCTCACAGAAGGTGTGGTTATCCGATATCAGAACCCTGAAGGTGCTCCAAGCTGGGGAGCCACTCTGGGTCTGACATATTACAGAGCCTCACTTAGCTTGTAGTGATCTTGAAGGACACCTCACAGTTGGTTTGAAAGCCAGGGAATTGAGACCTGAGGACCCCTGGGAGTACAAAAGGAAGGTTCAGAAAAGAAAATGACTCTCCCTCTTACATACATCTTGGGTATTCTTACTTAGCTTAAGGCTCTTTTTCTCTCTCATATAAAGTGTAATATGTCCACCCCAGGGGAACTTCAGTTGTTCCCACCGTGATAAACAGACATAGGTCATAGTCTCACCTCCCATTTGACTCCATTCTAGCCAGGTGTCCTCACTGATTTGCTGTAGAAATTCACTGAGAAGACAGGGGAGCCTTTCTCCCCAGGATCTGTAAAGCAGGCTTCTTTCGTGAGTCATGTTGCTGTGGGGCTCAGCTGAGAGACAACTCTGAGCGGCTCTTGACATCCCGTTGTCTTTGCAGACCAGGATCATTCTTCTGAACTGGTGTGCATGGTTCCTGCGGATGAAGAGGCCTGGGGAGGACAAGGTGCGGCCAGCCTGTCAGCACAAGGCTCGCCGCTGCAGTCTGGCCAGTGTGGAGCTGAGCGCAGGTGCTGGGCCACCCACCAGCAATGGCAACCTACTCTACATCGGCTTCCGAGGCCTGGAGGGCATGCACTGTGCCCCGACTCCAGACTCTGGGGTTGTGTGCGGTCGTCTGGCCTGCTCCCCGACACATGATGAGCATCTCCTTCATGGTGCCCACCCCTCCGATGGGGACTCTGACCTGGCCAAGATCCTGGAGGAGGTCCGCTACATTGCCAACCGCTTCCGCTGCCAGGATGAGAGCGAGGTGGTCTGCAGTGAGTGGAAGTTTGCAGCCTGCGTGGTGGACCGCTTGTGCCTCATGGCCTTTTCGGTCTTCACCATCATCTGCACCATTGGCATCCTCATGTCGGCCCCAAACTTCGTGGAGGCTGTCTCCAAAGACTTTGCTTGATATTACCACATAGGACATACACAGACAGAAGAAGTATCTGGGAGTTGAGACTTGGATCCCTAACCCCATGTCATGCCAAATGGAACAACTCTAAAGTATCTGTGTGGCTATCACTCTTTAGTCTTAGTTTCCTGGTTACTTTAACGAAAGAGAGTCCAACACCCTTCTGTTTTTTTCTTCTCATACTTACCGTTGTCATATCCTTGTCCTCAGCAGGGGCACCGTGGTCATTTGCTCCCTCTGCACTGCCCTATAGGGTAGATCTCAGTGGTTCTAGTCGGCCAGTAGAGGCCTGTCCAGTCGGTGTTCCGTGCCTGCATGTCCCTTGTCATGGGCTCACACACCAGAATTTACTGTCTGCTTGTGTCATGCACAGACCCAGGCTGAAACCAAGGCCGAGCAGCACTCAACGGGTCCATTTCAAAAACTTCCTTGCGAAAGGAAGGCAAACACAAGTTCAGTTCTCTGCCGGCTTTTCTGTGATTTTTTTTTTTCTTTTGTCTTTTTGCCTTTACTAATGGCCAACTTTGCATCAGAGAGAAAGTTGGCCTTCTAGATGATGTTTGGAGCAAACTGATTCCTGTAGATCTGCACTGTCAATGAAATTAGCACCCAGGTTGTATCACTTCTAAACTAGGACCAGCCCTAGCTAAAGCATTTGAAAGCTGTGGCCCTGCTCACCATCTGGAGTAAGATCTTTCCCGGCATGTATCTTTTACATCCAGTATCAACAAATGATGCACAAAATTTTTATTGCTGGTGTTATTTTTTTTATTAAAGTAACTGGAAACAAATAGGTGTGTTTTGGTACCTAAAGACCAGGCTTTGTGTCTTTTTGTTAGTTAAAATTTGAACCCTACCCTTTGCTTTGACTATCTGAGTAATTAATTATTGCCATTTTAAAAATAATGGTAGAGACTAGCTGTGCTCATAGTTCAGATGTGTATGGTTCAAAATCATCTCCCCCCTTGCTCCCATTTCCTCCTAGGAACAGTTTTAGAGGAAGAAGGAAAAGGTGGGGACAGAGAGGGAGGAGAGTGTGGAGAGACTTTGCTGTTGTTTTCCTAGAACTCGAGCTTGAAAGGTGCTTTGCGTCTACTGTTTTGTCCTAGAGAGCTTTCCGTAAGGACATCTAAAGGTCTACCTCATTCCTCTTAAGAGCTGCTAAATGTTCCACTCCATTGGTGGCTTACAATTTGTTGGATTAGCCTTTTAGTGGTGAGCACGTAGCTACAGTATTTCCAGGTTTAGTGGTGAGCGCATACCTACAGTATTTCCAGGTTTTATTTTTATACACAAGTCTGTGGTTAGCTTTTAGTGCATACTTTGCCATATTCTTTTCTGACCTTATCTTGGTATAAATTCCAGTTTAGAGATGGATGTAGGTAGGACTATGTGCATTTAGACTTCTGATAAATATTTCCAGATGGTCCTCTGTGGTCAGTGGGTACCCCCACCCAGAGTACAATTAAAGGGTCAGATGCTCAGCTCTCTGGTGTTAAATATTTTCCTATTTAATTTTTCCCTTCCCAATCTGACTGGTAAAAAATGATAAGGCAACAATATTCTGCTTTAAGTTCATTTAGCCATGAGCAAGGTTGAATTTTTCATATATATTTTGGTAATTTCAATTTTATATTCTATCTTTTATACAAATTTCAGTTTTTTATTCTCTTAATCTTTGTTTGGCATTGGTTTTTGATGCTATTTATTGAGTGCATATATATTGGCATATATTAAAACTCTATGCTGCTAGTTTATTCATGGTTTCCATTGTAGAATGTAAGATTGCCCTCTAGAAGGTCTTCCCTGTGTTGAGTTTACAAATAAATTTACTCCGTTTTCTTTCTAAACCAGTGTTTTCTTTTGTTTACCTTTATAACTTTTGATTTTTTAAGATTCATCATAAGAAATGTAGATAAAGATTTAGTTGTTTTTCTCCAAGGGTGGTCACTTAGTACACTAGACATACAATAAAGTATTTCTATAATATGAGACTCTTCCCTTTGGTCATATTGTCACCTTCTATGTAAATTAAGTTCCTCGAAGTGCTGTTGCGTTTTTTGGTTAATCTGCCTCGATGCTCTTGATTTCCAAAGCTTTAATCATATTAATGTTAATATTTTTAAGTGGATACTCTCTTCTGCTCCCTCCCCCTTCCTCTGTGTGTTATAATCATCTAATTGGGGTCACAATGGGTTTACACAGCAGGTCTTCTTGTCTGGGAACTCCACAATTTCAACTTGTATTCAAATCTAATTTTATGTAGTAAATAGGACTGTTCAGGAAAGTCCGACAAATTTCTTGCTGTTCATTTCTGGGTATCTTACCAGGTGGTCACCATTTTCAGTTGGATGGCATTGATTCTGTTTTCTAGCCCAATCTATAGGAAAGTAGTTGAATTCTGTATGTTAATCTTAATTAGTCACCATAATTGTCATCATTTTGTTTCTAAGATTTTCTTTTAACTCATCCTTCCCAATATCTTTGTTTCCCTTTCTTTCCAATTGCACTTAAGACCAGTAATTGGCTTGTTTGCATACTTGCCTTGTTCTTAACGTTGATGGATATTTTAATGACTCACAGTTTTACTTGTATGAAGACATGTATTTTCTTCATCACAATAAAAGTTATCTGTGTATCCTCTCAACGATCACTGCTCTCTGGGAAAAATCAGGATAGTATCTTTCTGCCAAAGCCTTCCCAGGATTCATGGAAAGGATCGGAAATTTCAATTTACCCAGCAGAAGGTTTCATTAACAGAATAATTAAGGTTATATTATAATATATTCCTGAGGTGGTGGCTACATTGTCTTATGATTTTGACTGTCAGTATGCATAATTAAAATTAATTTATAGCTTGGTTTTGTGTACAGTTGGATTCCATCAACTGTGGATGAAAAATATTTAAAAGTCACCTCTTTACTGAACATAAGCAGCCTCTTGTCATTCCTTTGTTAATGCAATGTAGCAAGTACATATATTTGCATGATAAATAACCTACAGATGGTATAATATAAATGAGAGGGTGTGTGGGCAGACTCGACGGGGTTCAGACTCACAGATATATCTGACCCCTTTAAAAATAAAAAGTGGTACCCCAACCTACTCACAACTTTGTTAGATTTGACTACAAAATAGAAGTTCTGTAAGGCTCTTTCTAAGGTCTGAGCATTATCTAGGAGAACTCAGGGACATATTTTTAGCTGCTTTTGTCTGTTATTTAAAGGCATCCACATCCAGATGAGCAAGATGCAAGTGATGCACAGGTAAGGTGTGTCCTGCTGGGATACGGGGATGGGGGTTTCCCTATGCAGCTCAGAGCACCCTCTCCCTCCCAATTCTCTGTGCTCAGCAGCCCAGAACTCTGAGGATCTGCCACCCGGGGATGGCCCCACCTCCAGCTCCTATTCTTCCCAGGCAGATGGGCTGAAAGCCTGCAGCATCCGATCAGGCTTGGTCACTCTGCCAACCTGGCCTTACCCAGGAGCCATCCAGGACCACTTAGCTCTCAGCTCTCCCCTAGAGCATCCCCCAGGATGAAGATCTCTGCCAAGACCTTGACTAATGACCAAAGTAGAACAAATGTTGCTCCTCACTCGTCTGCCAGTTAATGAGAAAACCAAGACCTTTCCATCGGTTGCCCTGTGCAAGGAGCTGGGAACTTATCTGTTAACTAACTCCTTCACATCAAATTTTACTTTTATTTTTCTAAGGCATTATTTTCATGTTTATCTGGACTATATAAAACACATTTTAATATGTATTTAATTTAACAATTATTTTATTTTAATATAAATGATACACATGACTTTATGTCTTTTTAAGTTTCTGCAAGAATTATCTTTTGGATCCTGTTTTACGATTTCTCTGTTTTTGTTCTTTTGGCACATCCTTCATTAGAAATGGAATGTTTGTTTTTTATTTCACAGGTTGCCTTGATAGCTTTACATAGAATTGAATCTATCCATAATGTATCATGATTATAGTCTCTGATACTTTTTACTTTTCATCTCAAACCAAAGCATATTATTAGCCGTTTCGTTGCTTTTCATCCTTCTATGGTTTTCTTGCATAACTTTACATTACCTACTTCGATATTCTCAATTCACAACAGAGTCTCATGGCTGCCATTTGGGGTAAATGGAGAGATGTTGATGAGAATGTGGAAATTAATTCATTCTGCATGTAATCTCTTCCTACCAATTGTGATAATGTCACTTTTACAATTCCACAAGTTATATTTACCTTCTGCAAGTTCATTTCCTTTCATTGCGTAAACTATGTAAACATATGCCAAATGTATTTCTGTCTTTTTCCTCATTTGGGGGCCTGTGTGTAATTATGTCTTATTCATGTCTGTCACCTTGGAAATCTGAACCTTTCCCTCTCTGCTGCTAACTTTTATTCTTGACATAGTCATCTCCATTCCTCCCCATTTTAGTTTCTCAGACTTTTATTTATCAAGTCTCTTCTGAAATGGCGGTTGCTGTGGCTCTTCATTTGTTTTCAAAGTTCTGCAGTCCCCCCTTTCCCTGATTCCCTGCTTTCATTTTATCTTTGTCCAAATCAGTTTCTCATTAGTCTCATGCACCACGTTGGAGATTTTCCCTTTGTTAGCTCAGCCATATTGGCAAATGGAGTCTTTTCTTTCCCCCATGGGATGCTCATTGTTTTTCCTCACATCTCCAAGTGTTCCTTGGCGTGGCTGCCTTGTTCCTTAATCTCTTCTTGCTTTTGTTTGACCTGAACAGCTCTGCAGGGTCTACCTATTTCTTTTGGAAAGGCATCTCTGGTCATTCTTCTGAATTCTCTTGATTCGCAGAATACAGGCTTCCTTTATCCAGTGTAACAAACCCCTCTTGCTATGACCAAGACATCTAGTCACACATTCTTGAGTGAAAAAAGGGAAAGTTTTAGAGAGATGTCATCAGTTGCCTTTTCCTGGGTGATATTTTTCAGAATGCAAGCATGCATAAAAAGTACAGGAGTTTTGGCGATGGCTTCAAGGAAGCTGACAGGGTCATGAGCTATCACACATGCATAGCAGTGGAAACAATTCACAGAGTGAAATATGTTTGGATACCTATGATAAGAAATAAGAAGAGGGAGAGCAATACCAGGTGTAGCTAGAAACTGGGTGGAAAGTTCAGTGAACTAGCAGCAGGATATGCTGACAAGTGAGAAGAGTGTGACAAGGTGGTAGGTGGCCTGGAACGGAGGAGCAGAGGTGATGCTGTCAGACAAATTCCCTGGAGGCGCCACAAGCTGCCACACAGTTACCCAGAGGGAAGGAGCGGGACTACCTTGTGGAGGAAAAGCTGGAATGTCATTGCTTCCTGCTGCCTCCTTAAAAGCAGCAGGGAGCCTCTGAATGTTCTAAGCAGGGCAGAAGTGTAACTAAATTTATCTTTAGAGTATTGACCAAAAAAATAGAATTCAGTTATTTTCTCTCTTTTCATAGAAGGATTTTGCTAAGCACCATACTGTGAAGCAGAACAAGTATGGTTGGTGGTTGGTATCAGAAAAGCTCCTCCTTAATTTCTCTCTCTCTCTCTCTCTCTCTCTCTCTCTCTCTCTCTCTCTCTCTCTCTGTGTGTGTGTGTGTGTGTGTGTGTGTGTGTGTGTGTGTTGCACGCACCTGAATGTGGAGGTACCTGTGCCTGTCTGTGCAATGAAGAGGGCAAAGGATGCCATCCATCACGTGTCTTCCTCTATACTTTATCTCTTACTCCCCTGAAACAGAGTCTCACTGCACTACAAACTCACTGTTTGGGCTTGGCTGGCTGGCAAGCAATCTCCCGGGATCTGCCTGGCTTGGATCCCCCAAATGTTGGGCTCACAGGCATACACAGCCATTACCAGCTTTTATATGGGTGCTGGGGATTTGAACTAAAGACCTCAAGCTTGCACAGCAAATATTCTTGCCCACTGAACCGTCTGTCCAGCCCCAGTTCTCCTTAAGCTTTGAGGTCATATAGGGCCTGAGGTTTGGAGGTCAGGTTTGGAATGGAGAATTGCAACCAAGAAGACTTGGATGATAAATAAACAACTTCCATTCAAAGCTCCAAACAGGAGAACCTTGCAGAAAAATCTCAAGGTGATTTTTACAGGTAACAATTATAAACTTTCCTTCATCTTCCAAAAAGATGTGAACCCTGACCCACCCTTAGTGTGTGTGGACAGGTGTAAGGAAGAATACTCCAGTAGTGTGAACATTGAGGCTTTCCTACAAAGAACATTTGAACGGGCAGAAGGCAGCCACGCACAGCAAGGTATGAGAGAGGGCTGCTGGCCTTGTAATAAGGCAAAGTAAAGCCCGAAAGCCTGAGTCTCTAGAATGCACTTAGCTAGAGAAGCTTGTTGTTGTTGTTGTTGTTGTTGTTGAAAGCTACTTTAAAGTCTTCTCAGGATAATTCCGACATCTGATTCATCTGTGTTGGCAACAGCTCATTCAAGTTGCCGTTTTTCCTGTTTTCGGGCACGATAAAAGAATTTCAGTTACGTTTTAGACATTGTATCTGTCATGTCCGGAGACTCTGGGCCCCAGTTAAGTCTTTTACTTTAGCAGGAGCCAATGGCTTAGCTTTGGTTCGGTATGCTACTCATAATCCTGTTCCAATAACAGTGTGACTCCCAGTCTCTGCTAGGTCATTTTCTCCTGCTCATTTTCTCCTGTGTCCCAGGGGATTGATCCTATAGTCTCTTCCATTGTGTTCCTAGCCTAGCCTGACTCTGAAAGTTTCTTCTTGGGGCTCGGGGATTCAGGCACCCTGTTGAAGAGGTTTCCCTGATTGTATAAGAGGTGTAGGGACCCTAGTCAATGTGGTGTGAGCTCTTGGTGTGAGCAGAAAAGTCCTT